TAAGCAACTCTGAGTTTTATCATGTGCCATCTGCAGATGCAAAATTTGAGACGTAGGGGTGAGGTCACTTGCCAGAGGCACCATGGGAGATGTCCTTGTCTGTTTTCTGTTGCTATAACAAAATGCCTGAGACTGGGTAATTTATAAAAAATAGAGGTTTATCTGGCACACAGTTCTGGAGGCTGGAAGTCCACAAGCACAGGGTTGCTTCTGGTAAGGGCCCTCATACTGCATCATCACAAGGGGGAGGGAATCCCATGGAAGCAAGTGCGTGGGCCCAGCTCTCTCTTCCTCTTGTTATAAAGCCACTGATGCCACCATGAGAGCCCCACCCTGAGGACTTTAATCCTAATGACCTCCCAAAGCCCCCACCTCCAAATGCTATCAACATCTGACTCTGGGATGATGTTTTCAACTCGTGGATTCTGGGGACACACAACCCGGAACCACAGCAGGTGGGAGTTTGGCCAAGGGTTGACTGCCTGGTAGCCAGCGAGCGACCTTCCTGCAGAGCAGGCAGCTTCATCCCAACCTTGGTCCCAGAGCTGGGCCTGGACTGATGGATCCGACTTGTGATTTTGGAACCCACCTGAGTCACAGGGGACAGACAGTGGGATGTGAGGGCAGAGAAGCCTGGCTGTCTGCTCCACGGACAAGGAGGTCTGGGGCTGGAATGTCATTGCACCCTGAAAACAGGTCCCCATGGGGTACACTCTCTTGGATTTAAACAGATAGCCATTCTAGGTGACGAGCACTGTGTGCATGGGTTCCCTCTGTCGTGATCTACTTGGCATCTGTGAGTCATAGCCACACAAGGGACCAGAGTTGTTCACATCTTGCCTGCAACCTGGAGCTACCCCGCCTCCGACTTTTTAACCCTCACGCGTACAAGCCAGTGTTTTCTCTGCCCTAAGTCACCCAGAGTCAGACAGCAAACAACTAGAGACCGCTTACAGCCCAGAGCCCACGGACACCATTCAAACCACCGACGGCAAGCTATTTCCCTGCCTGGATTTTCCTGCAGAAAACAGAGTAAAGACAATGGCCAGTGCCCCCTCTGCATGTGACCCAGTCAGTGCTACCCCACATGGCCCTGCGTGCCCCTCCTGTCAGGAAACCTAAGTGATGAAGAGCCTCCTTCACGGTCGTTGGCCTCTCCGTGTGGGTTCTTAGTGTTGCCCACTGAAGTTTCTGTCTCCTCCAGATTCAAGTGTGGAAATCCTGACCCCCTGAGTGATGGTGCTAGGGTGTGGGGCCTTTGAAGATGAGTGTGCCATGATGATGGGGTTCATGCCCCAGGACTAAGGCTACAGAGAGATCCCTGCCCCTTCTACTCTATGGATATGCCCCCAACTAAAAAAAAAAAAAAAAAAAAAGCCCATCTCTCCAGCAGGAAGCAAGCTCTCGCCAGAGTCTGCTGTCACCTTGATCTTGGATTTCCCTGCTTCCAGAACTGTGAAACATAAATGATTGCTGTGTAAGCTCCCCCCGCCTGTGGTATTTTTGTTACAGCAGCCTAAATAGACTAAGACATCTCTATAAATTAAAACACCATGGGCTGGCACAGTGGCACACGCCTATAATCCCAAGGGCTCAGGAGGCTGAGGCAGGAGGATCGTGAGTTCAAAGCCAGCCTCAGCAGTTTAGCAAGGCCCTAAGTAACTCAGCGAAACCCTGTCTCTGAACAAAATACAATAACGGGCTGGGGACGTGGCTCCATGGTTAAGTGCCCCGGTTCAATCCCCAGGACCCCTCCCCAAAGAAAACAAACACACTCCATGGGTACAATCATTGCTAAAATGAGTCAGGTAGTTCATCTAACACACAGGGTGTGAAAATGACCATAAAAGTGAGAGCAAGCTATTATGTGATGGGTATTTAGCATAAAGCCATCATTGTGTGCTATGGTTTAGGTATAAAATGAGTGGTCCTCTAAAGTCCATTTGTAAAGACTTGGTCCCAGTGGTGGTGGTACTGGGAGGTGCTGTGGACCTTTAAGAGGTGGGGCCTGATCAGAGGTCCTGAGGTGCTTGGGGGTGTTCCATTGAAGGGGGCCATGGGAACCCAGTCTCTTTCTCTCAGGTATTTTCAGACATACTCGCTTATTCCCACACATGGAGCTGCCATTGCCAGCCATGCCATGAGGTGATGAGGCCAAGGGGTGGTGCTGAGCCTGTGCTGTGCCATTGGGGTTCTCAGCCTCCAAAACTGTGAGCTAAAGAAACCTTTTCTTTTTGTAAAGTTAGCTGCCTCAAGTATTTTGTCGTAGGAATGCAAAGGTGACACTGCCAAGAGGCAGGTCTTTTCAATCCAGTTTTGGGCTGTCCTTCATTACTCAAAGCTGGGACCCTTTGGGTGCAACAAAACCCGGGGCCACCTACCTTTCCGGTGGGATGGTGTCTGTGTTGCTGCTGTGCCGCCTCTGCATCTTCCTTAACACCTGGAAGCCAACACAGGAGTGAGCCAAGCCTCCCACACGCCTCTCACCTTTCAGGTCACCATGGCAACCACCAGCCAGTCCCACCTGTATCCTGCATCCCTAGAGCTCTCTGACCTTTTTCAAACTTTGTTTCTTTTTGTGGTCACTTGATCCTCAGTTCAATATTTATTTCTGCAGGAAGAATGATCACATTTTGCAGATGAAGATGTTGGGACATAGAGGTGGAGGAGGGTCTCATGGGAAAGGAGATGGGAAGGAAGAGAGGTGTCGGATGTGGTGAAGAGAGCAGTGGACAGGTAGTCAGGAGATGGGGATTCTGGACCCATGCTGTCCCTAACTGGCTGTGTGACCTTAGGCAAATCAGTAACCTCTCTCTGGCTCCAGATTCCCCACCGGTTCCACAGGTGGAGTGGAGTGGCCGAACACAAAGCTTCCTGCCATCCCTCGTATTTACTGAAGCAGGTTGGATTCTAATGGAGACATGTCACCTGGTTCACTGTGAGGAACCACATGGACTTCAGACCTCCATGATGACGACGGCTGAGGTGGATATTCAGGGCTCCTGGTGGGAATGCGACCACTGGATCTGAGAGAAAGCAGGCCTTCCCTTCCTTTTCCTCTCCAGAGGGACACACAGGTCAGGGAGCTAATCAGACTCCAAACCCTGGATGGCACAGAACGCTTGGGTAAATAATTCACATATAGTCCAGTAGATGATAATTCTCGTGACATCAGGGCTAACTGTACCCATCTGCTTATTATCTCTGGGTGGCTCCTTATGGATCTCTCCTTGAGTCTCTCTAGGACAATTATGATCTGAATGTATTTTGTCCTGTTGACAAAAGAGGAGCCCTTCTGATTGGGGAATTCAGAAAATATGGCTTCCCACTGAATCCAGAATAAAACCCAAAGCTCTGCTCACAGCCTACAGGTTCTGGCTGACATAGCATCACACACTTCTAACCTGATTTTCTTCCATGCTCCCTTCTATGATGCACCTCCAGCCTCACTGGTCTTGCTGTTCCTCCAACATGTCTGCTGGTCCCTGTCTCAGGGCCTTTAAACTGGCTGTTCCCTTTCCCTGGAATGCTTTTCCCACTGTATGTTGAAAAGCTAGTTCCTCAGGTCAAAGATCACCTGGGGGGGGGGGGGCTTCCCTGTTCACCCCTGATTCCTTCCACCATTGCACTGTTTTATTTTCTCCACAGCACTTACCAGCTATTTACATGCACATTAATTAATCTGTGATCTCTCCCCGATTAGAATGTAAATTCCACAAAAACAGGAATCCTGTGCACCTGGTTTGTCCCTTTACCTCTGCATCTAGAGTGCTGCTGGTCACAGAGAGCACTCTGCAAATATTTATTCAATAGATAAAACACCCATGAGTCTCCCACTTACCTTTTTCTAGATCCCTTGCTCACTGTCTCACCTCTCACATAACAGAAGAAAACATTGTGGTACACTTTCCATGAATAGTTTTGGCCTCTTGGAATATTTTCCTGTCCAGGACCACAGATGGTCCCAACTCTTAGTTCAGGGCTCCATAACTGGCTATTGAATGACTTCTTACTCCTGACCAGGCTTCTTAGGGACATAGAATAGACAACCCTTTTCCTTTCCCTTTCAGAACACTAGTTAAGAAATGGGTCAGCAGCACCATCTTTATGTATAAAGGAAAGATCATTACATATATATTTTTCTCAGAACTTGCAATCTTGCTTAATAACTTAGCCTCAACCTTCTATCTGCCAACACTTGCAAATAAATCCTTGGAGAAAAATAAAATACAGCATCCCAAGGTTTCTAACCACAAATTTGGCACAACCTCCTAAATAGAGTGCCCAACACTACTTTCAAATGCTTGCTTTTGAAGGGTCTTCAGATTCTGTGTTGGACGCAGGCCATACATAATTATTTCAACATTGAATTCTGGAATAAATTTTTGCACCTAAATAATTGAATGAAACGCCTTTTAACCCTCTGCTCCATGCATAGGTCTAGCTCCCTATGAAGGACCACACCGAGACTTTTCTGGCCGTTACTAGGCTGCCCCGAAGTGCCCGCAAGGGAGCATCTCCTGCATCCCTTGCACTGGAAGAGGGCAGGTGCACTTTGGATACAATGTCGCCATCGCTTCTCATTCCAACAACCCCATGCACAACGGAAAACACTCTTAAGGCTCCAAGGGCTTCACAGACCACGCGGGGGGCGGGGGAGAGCCGCGTACTCTTTTTTACCTGCCCAGACAATTCAGCAATCACAGCCGCATCATTCACATCCAGCCAAGCCAATCACTCGCGGGTCCTGTGCGTCACGTGACTTCCGAGTACTTCCGGCCTCTGGTTGGGTTCTGTCTCTGGTTCCCAAAGCCGGACGCTAGGATCCCCGCACAGTTTCACAGTCGCACGCGACTGCCCGCCCCCTTCTCCTAGCTTCAGCCAATAGGAGTCCGTCTCTTCTCAGGAACCAATGACGAGACGTCCTTGAGGGGCCGACCGGTGACGCAAGCGGAGCGGAGGCGGGGCGTGGGCCGGGGTCACGTGGTGCGACGCGCGCCGGCTGCCGGGAGCTGGCTGGGCCGCGGACCGCGGGGCCGGGTTTGCGGCTAGGGGTCTGGCCGCCCGGTGTGTAGGGGCCATGCCGCCGGGTCCCCGGGCCTGCTTTGCTCCGCTCCCCGGCCGCCACGCCCCGCGTCCCAGCTGGGATGGTGAACCTGGCGGCCATGGTGTGGCGCCGGCTCCTGCGGAAGAGGTGGGTGCTGGCCCTGGTCTTCGGGCTCTCGCTGGTCTACTTCCTCAGCAGCACCCTAAAGCAGGTCAGTGCCCGCCCGCCCGCCCGCGCGTCCTCGCTCCCGGCCGCCGGGTTCCTGCGTCTCGGGGTCGCGAGAGGTGGGTGTCCCTGCCCTGGGTCTCCGGGCGGGCCAAGGGTCCTGCCGGTTCCGCTGGTGCGGGGGCGGAAAGGCGGTGCTGGGCCGGGGCCGAGCGGGGACTCGAACCCGCCGCGGTGGGCCCTCCGGGGCGCCTGTGCCCTTGATTGGCACCTGGGTGCTCCTCACCTGGCAGTCCAGGCCTGCGGGGGGCGTGCCTTTTCCTCACCGGATTCCCAGCGGTCCAGGGAGAGGTGGGCGTCCCCGCTTTACAGCCAGGGAAACCGAGACACGAAGGGTAGGTGGTGGCCGGGCCAGGCAGTGGTCAGGTGCGAGGCCAGCGCTGGCGTGCCTGCTCTCTATTTAATCATGCGGCTGGGGGTTGCGTGCTGAGGCCACCTGGGTGACTGGACGGAACTCCTTTCTGTGCACGACTTGGTTAGGTGGAGGTTTCTTTTCATCCCCCTTTCGGTTTTTCTTCCACATGAGACTTTCTGGGGAGCAATGGCAGCGAGCATTAGTGGGAAATGTTACCCGGAGTTTGTTTAGAAGTCCAACTTGAGCTCTTGAGTTTCAAGGAAGGGTGAGCATATCCCAAGATGTGCCAGGGACATTCTTTTGGTGATGGGGTTGTCCTGATGTAGTTAAGAGCCTGTCTTTCCACTCTCAAAGGTCAAATTCATAAATTAGTACATAAATGCAAACTATGTTTTAGTGGATTGGCAAGGAAGCCAGGAATAGGGAAGATAGGGAATTGTATCCTGCCTCCCCCTTTAGAGAACAGAAATGTTGCAAGTCTCTTGTTGGCCGGGATGTGTGGTGACCGTGAACGGCTGGGCTTCTGTGACTTATGCTTTCTGGTACCTCTGGACACTTTCCAATCATGTGTTGCTTCTTCTCGGAACGGTTTGGACTTGTGAGTGTTGTGTGCCAGGACTTAGTCCTCTGGCTTCCTCTCTATCTGACCCAGGTGATCTCTAGCACCATTGTTTACCAGCTGTATGCCGATTTCCCAATTGATCACTCCAGTCTAGACCTGTCCAGAAAATCCCAGATTCTTCTGTGTAATGGCCTACTTTATTTTTTTTCCAAAAATTTTTGTGATAATCATAAATTTCACTTTTTAAGCCACTATTAAGTGTACAGTTTAGAGATAATAAATGTATTTGTCACGTGTAGTCTTTGCCACCATCCATCCCCATAATTTTCTTCATCATGTGAAAAAACAAACGACACCTGTAACAATAACATCTCAGTCCCTCTTTTTTTCTAGCCCCTGGCAGCCGCCATTCTACTTGACTGCTTTTCCTGATGGTAGTGTAGGCTTCTCACACTTGGCCAAAACAGAACTCTGGATTCTCTTCTGCCAGTGCTTGTTCCTCCCCAGTCTTCCCAGTCTCACAGAAAGGCATTACTATGCACCAGGTGGTCCAAGCTCAGACATTTCTTTTCTGACATTTCCTACATCCAGGATATTGGCTCTGCCTCTGCCATGTGACCTGAACCTGTTCATTTCTCCTAGTTGTCACTCTAGGTCAAGCATCTGTCATCTTTTGCCTGGACTATTGCAGTAGCCCACCAGGTCTCGGCTTCCTTTCTTGTCTCAGGATCTGTTCTGTACCCAGCAGCAGGGGTGATAATCTTTAAGAAGATCAGATCATGTTACTCTCCCATGTGTAATTTTGTGTGTTCCTGTTAACAGGCAGATAAAACCCCAGATTCCATTCTGGGGTTGTGTCATTGAATCTTTTCTGTCATTTCGAGTCAGGCTAACTCTTCATACTTTGGTTACTTAGGCCATACATGGTGACCCAGTACTCCTTGCCCATAAGCTTTATTTATTAATTTTTTTTTGGTAGGAATCACCAATGGAACATTTCTTGTTCATTGTTTATCTGTCTTGCCTCACTCACTGTTTTCAAATGTAATTTCTTTGAGAATAAGGACCTCATGTGTCTTGTTCGGAGACCTTCCAGCCCCTGGAATACTGCCAGGCACTTGGTGAGAACCCAAATACTGGTTGAGCAAACAAGTGTCTTTATACTTGGGATGGCGTTTGCTTTCTTCTCAGGCTTGCATACTCCTGATTTTTCATGTCCTGTCTCAGATGCTGTTTCTTCCCTATAAACCTAAGTATCTCAGGGCACCATCTTCTTTATTATTTTTTTTTATTACAGTGTCTTTGTTTCTTACTTGTGATCTGTGACCATAAGTGGGTTTTGGGGGGGTGGGAACAAAGGCAAGACTGAAGGCTTTGTAACTCTTGGTAGAATTTTTGCCTTGTAAATTTCTTTGGGTCTAATTTCTCAAAACATAAGAAGCCCTGATCTGTTGTCTGCCTCTGTTGAATCATTGCTGTGATCCGTCCTTTCTCCCATTAGGTGGCTGAACTCTGTAAAGAGGGCATTGAACCAAAGGCAGGGCTCGTTACCACATGATGGGGGCTCAGAGGACTTGTGAGTCTCGCTCCAGGCTGTGGCAGCAGAGTACCATGGACAGGGTGGCTTGAACAACACATCCTTGTCCTGGAGGCTGGGAAGTCCAAGGCTTCCACCTGTGCTGATGTATTCTGTGTTTGGTGGGGACCTCGTGTTGTGGAGAGCTCTGGCTCCTTCCTCGCCCAACAAGGCCATCAATCCCATCACAGCTGTTTACCCTTGTGATCTCTCAGAGGCCCTCCTCTAAATATGGATGTCACTTCCCCTACTATCACATTGAGGACAAATACGTTAGCATAGGGCTTTGGGGGGAAGCATCCAATTCCTAGTACGGGGTGACTGCATGGATCAGCTGTTCATACGCTGGCCCTGGTGGCCTGTCAGATGCTGCTCCATCTTGCTTCCTCCTTAGTAACACAGACCTTGGAAGGGAGTACATAGGGCCATCCTGTCCGGTTATGTGGATATCGTAATGAGGTGGAGCGCACCTCCCCTGCAGTTTGATGTGTGAGAGATGGTGTTCACATTTTCATTTTATGTTGATAGGAGCAACACGTTGTATACACTCAGGCCATGGGGACTGCCTTTCTAGGAGCAACTAGTTGATGTCTTTTATCTGCACCATTTTTCATGTTTAAATCTTTGTTTTGGAATTTATTTTTGCATAGAATGTTATTTTGCCTTAAGTTCCCCTTACTACTGGAAAAGGTAAACATCATACTGGTGATTCTACAGCTCCCCTCCCTATTGTGCCTTATATTCTTTGACCATTTTACTCGAGGATGTCTTTCTTTCTACTTTGTAGGAATTCTGTGTAGCTGGGATTATTCCTTTGTGCAGGTGCAGGAATCTCATGCAGGGCTGCCTGGTTTTAAAGTTCACATTCTTAATTGATAACATTGTGACAGAACAGCTAATGTGCAGTATTTGCACAGTAGAGTTTAAAAATATATGAAATTTCAAATAAATCTCTTCTCTGGCTTCTTTTGAAAAATTAGGAGATTTGTTAGCACTAGATCTACTGGCAACAGTCAGTCTGGAGAAATCGGAGCAGATCTGCACCCACAGATTGTGGGCTGTATCCTTTCCTCTAGGACGCTCACCGGCATGTCGTTTCCTGGCCTCCTGTGGCAGACATCGGCATCAGACAGCTGCTTTACCCTTGTGACCTCCCAGAGGCCCTCTAAATACGGATGTCACTTCCCCTGCTATCACATTGAGGATGAATACAGTAGCATGGGGCTTTGGGGGGAAGCATCCAGTTCCTAATACGGGGTGACTGTATGGATCAGCTGTTCATAAGCTGGCCCCGGTGGCCTGTCAGATGCTGCTCCATCTTGCTTCCCCCTCAGTAACACAGGCCTTGGAAGGGAGTGCACCGGGCCATCCTGTCCGGTTATGTGGATGTACGTAATGAGGTGGAGCACACCTCCCCTGCATCAGGGGTGTTCACAAGCCGTAGCTCAGTCTTCACCTGGGTGCGGGTGGGATCGCCTCTCCTGCCCTCTTTGAAGGTAGCAGTGGCCTCATGGCTGGCTTTTATTCCTCCAGTATTAACTGTCCTTTCCAGGTGACGTTTGGTTACTGCTCCCCCCACCCCCCTGCTGCAGTGAGCCAGGAGTCTGCATGTTGAGGGGACCTTGCTGCCTGAGAAACAGGATGAGTAGAGCCCCTGACTCACCTGTGTGAGACTTGTACCATGAGCAAGAGGTGATCCTTCCTGTTGAGCCACTGAGGTTTAGACTTTAGAGAAACCTGGTCCAGCAGTTTCCAGAATGTGGTCTGTGGACGCTGGAGGGTTCCTGAGACGCTTTCAGGGGGCCTATAAGGTCAGAATCATTTTCAAAATAGCCCTAACATGCTTTTTTTCACAGTGCTGACCCTTGAATTGATGGAGCAAAAGGAATGGTAGGTAAAACTGGTATCTGAGCCCGATCACAGCCGTGGCGCCACATTGTCCTAGTAGCTGTGGCATTCCTCACTGTCATGCCTGTGTTTGAGAGCCTTATTTCCCCCAAGACTACACAGTGAGCATGATGAGTTTTGCTGATCGTTGATCAGTCTTGCTCTTCAGTACCTGTCGTTCTGCCTGACAAGAAGGGAGATTCCCTCGCCCAGCTGTCCTCTGCGGCTAAAGTGTGGCTGTTTGAAGGAGGGTACTTGGCGACTGAGTTGTGAGCTGAACTAGTTATTGTTTTCAGGGAACACCATTTTCACCTGAAACAATGAGCGGTACACTGTAGTTATTCAGATGGGGTATTTGATAGACAGTTTCTTGAAAACCAATAAAGCGAGCCTGTTACTTCACAGAAAACATCTGACGTTATTTGTTGCCAAAGATAAAATTCAAACTTTCAAGTGAAAATTAGAATTTTGGGAAACATGTTCGTGCCATCCTGAGCTTGATGACTTCCTAACACTTAAGGAACTATTCCATTTGGTCACTGGTGATATTAACAAATGTGACCTTTTTGATATGTATACGAAAATGTTGTCAGCATTTGGAAGATC